ATGTCTATCAAGTTCCCAGAATGACTCTGACATTGCTGGTTTGAGAAACACATTGGGAGAACCACTGAGAAGTCCAAATCCCTTGATTCATTAGTTTAAGGGAAAGGGGAGGCTGAACACAGTGGCTCATGCCAGTAATCCTAGCACTTTGGGAGGCTGAGGAGGGAGGACTGCTTGAGACCAGGAGTTCAAGAGTAGCCTGGGTAACATAGGGAGACCCTGTCTCATAAACTAAAAAAATTAGCTGGGCATGGTAGCGTGCACTTGTAGTCCCAGCTACTCAGGAGGCTGAGGTGGGGAGGGCTGCAGGGTGCAGGGGGGATAACTTGAGCCTAAGAGGTAGAGGCTGCTGTGAGTTGTAATTGTGCCACTGCACTCCAGCCTGGGTGACAGAGTGACAGACCCTGCCTCAAAAACTAAGTAAATAAAAGGAAGGGGAAGTCCATGTACCTCTTCCTCCCTCTTCAGAAAGTTGTAAGTCCAAAAGGCCAGGATCATAATTTGTAAGAACTTTGTAGGATTCCTCAAAGTTTGCAATGATCCAGAGTTGATTCTTTTTTTTTTTTTTTTTTTTTTTGAGACGGAGTTTCGCTCTTGTTACCCAGGCTGGAGTGCAATGGCGCGATCTCGGCTCACCGCAACCTCCGCCTCCTGGGTTCAGGCAATTCTCCTGCCTCAGCCTCCTGAGTAGCTGGGATTACAGGCATACACCACCACGCCCAGCTAACTTTTTGTATTTTTAGTAGAGACGGGGTTTCAGCATGTTGACCAGGACGGTCTCCAACTCTTGACCTCGTGATCCACCCGCCTCGGCCTCCCAAAGTGCTGGAATTACTGCCACCGGCCAGAGTTGATTCTTATCATTTCTTTCCCCATTCTAAAGCCTTAAAATTGAAGAGGTCTTTGGTGGCTGGGGAGGTGCAGATACACACTGAGTAACCCTGACCACCAGGGGGTTGCCTCAGGTGACAAAATAGATAGTGAGAGCTTTAAGAAGAGACAGGCTGCTGCGGGAGGTGACTCAGGCCTATAATCCCAGCACTTTGGGAGGCCGAGGCGGGTGGATCACCATGTCAAGAGATCGAGACCATCTGGTCAACCTGGTGAAACCCCGTCTCCACAAAAAAAAAAAAAAAAAAAAAAAAAAAAGAGAGAGAGATAGGCCCAGAGGTTCTGACGCCAGGAAGGAAAAGAAGGTTTGGGAGGAGCCCTGCTTTGAGAAATGGCCCTGAGTTATATACAATACAAAGTTTAGTGAGAATTCCTGGAGGCCGGCTGATCCAATTCAACAGTGACCTCCACACAAAACAATCCCTTCTTGCTTTCCCTCCACCTCCTCCACCCAACCCTCCAGGGCTTCCTTCAGTTGCTGCGCAAGAGAGATTGTGGATCTGACCAGGCCCCCGGTTCCTCTTGCTGATTTAGGCCAAAGGGGAAATGGAAAGTTTAAAGTCTTAAATAGAAAACATTTTTGCTATTTTCACGTATCTGTACTTAGGGATGATTTTCATTCCTGTTAAATTATTTGGCAAATTAACGTTTTAATATGTCCTTTGTTTCATTTTCCAGTGAGCCTTTTAATAAATGTAGCTGTATTTTCCCGGGTATGTCAGCTATGAGATACCCCCTCAGCTGCTTTGAGTTTTGATTTTTTTTTTTTTTCTTCTACTATCTCTACTCATCTCCAGATGGTCTTTTACCAAGTTTTATTTCTCAAGATCCTTTTTAGGAAAGCTAGTATCAGGAGCTCCCTTGAAAACCCTACCAGGTATTTAGAGCTCAAATTCTGTAGTCAGTGACTTGAGAGTTCAAATCTGGTTTTAAAACCTTGGGTAAATTACTTATTTTCTTTAAGACTGTATTCTCATGTTCAATGCTGTCAACTAGACTCACTTGATTGGGTTACTTAGAGAATTAACGTGAGAAATTATAGCTGGGTGTGGTGGCTCATGCCTGTAATTGAAGCACTTTGGAATTACAAAGTGCTGGAATTACAGGCAAAGGTGGGTGAATCCCCTAAGCCCAGGAGTTCAAAACCAGCCTGGGCAACATGGTGAAAACCCCATCTCTACCAAAAAATAAAAAAATTAGCTAGGTGTGGTGGCAATAGAGTGAGACCCTGTCTCAAAAAAAAAAAAGAGACAGAGAAAACATGTAAAACGCTTAGCACTGATGCACTGTTAATCATAAAACGATAATAACCTGCATTATTACTTTTGCTGTTAAGCAATGCTTCACTCCCTCTTCCTCCCACTCTCCAAACAATCTGAATAGCTTCCACAAAAAACTGAGTTTTGTCTAAAATCAGTATGTGTCACCCTCTGACTGCCAAGTTCTTTTGTGTTTTCAGAAATGCAACAGATCTAAACCCAGTGTAAATGTCTTTGCTTGTGCCCTTGGATTCTTACCAAAGCAAAGCAGATTAGGATGCTAGCGGGGAGGCAACTAAAAGTGGTCTGCTTTATATAGGTAACCAAAAAATAGACAAATAAGAGGCATAGGTCTCTAGTTGAAGACATAAGCCCACAGGAAAGCTAAATTACTTAAAGGTAAGTAAACCTGATCATATAATCTGCCTGCTAAAAATATTCCCAGGTACTCTATGCCTGCCTCCATCTACCTGGTTTTTCAACAATACTTATCCTCCTTGCTTTATACCTTTAAGATACTCCAAGATCCGGCCCTTGTTCTCCTTTCCTCCAAGGAGAACGAATCATGGGTCACTTTCACTGGCTTAGCTGACATCACTCACTTTTAGGGCTTTCTTATTTTCCCTCTGCCCCAAAACACACAAATAAATAAATGACCTGTTTCTATTTGCCATTAACACTCTCTCAAGAACTCTCTCACTTGACTCCTACTTATTGGTTAAGTTTTGAGTTTTCTAGACACCTAGCACTCTATCTGGAAGTAGGTTCATAATACGCACAACTTTCATGACTGCAGCTAGCTGACTAACAACAGGCAGGCTGCCTCTGGCTCAGTCTGGAAGGCCCTGGCCCTGAATGTGCCTTCAGGGAAAGGGCAGGTCCAACTGGGGAAACAATATCTGATAATTGTGCTTTTATTTGTCTACTTATATTAAAACCCAGGTTCATTTTTTCAATTTGTTTTGACAACATTCCTGAGATTTTTAATACTTTGATTAGAAGTGTTCTAACTTTTAGAAATTAATTTGACAGGCGGGGCACTGTGGCCCCCGTCTGTAATCGCAGCACTTTGAGAGGCCCAGGCAAGTGGATGACTTGAAGCCAGGAGTTCCAGACCAGCCTAACCAACATGATGAAACCCCATCTCTACGAAAAACACAAAATTAGCTGGGTGGGGTGGTGCATAGCTGTAATCTCAGGTACTTAGGAGGCTGAGGCAGGAGAATCAGTTGAACCCTGTGAGTTGGTGGCTGCAGTGTGCCAAGATCATGTCACTGAGTTCCAGCCTGGGTGACAGAGCTAGACTCATTCTAAAAAAAAAAAAAAATTAATTTGAAACATTACTATCAAATAGCATAATAGTAATAAAGTACTTGGGAGAGCCTTGGTAAACTTAGCATAGTAACACAGAAAGCACCTTTATAATTCAAAGGCTATCAAGAAATCCTGGTTTGTTTCCCAGATGGGAAGGGCCTGACTAAACTTCCAGAAAATGATATTAAATGTATAAAATTATGTCCAGAATTGAAAACTATTAGCAATTAATATCCTGTACCATCTGAGGCTTACATTTAAGACCAACGTTTATTTTCAGTTTTTTCTGAGTACTTTCTAGATTCCCCAGGTTAAAAATTATTGTAGTTTCTCAAATCTATTTGTCTCCTAATGGGATGATTTAAGGTGGGAAACACATATACGATTTAAAAACAAAAAAACAAAAAACAAAAACTCAGTTCAGGAAATAACTCTCCGAGTCTGTGGGTTAAACTTTCTGTTAACCCTGTTCAACTGGTTTTATAAGGCTTTCAGAAGGGGTCCTGCAGCTGCTAGTGCAGGCAGTTAAAAATAGTGGGATGAAGGAAGTCTGAGTCCAATCCTAGCGTTTTTGTTGCTTTAACTATTTCTGTTTTTCAGATGAGTCAATTTAAGAACAGAGTGACCGAGAGGCCAAAATGAAGACCAGTTTTAGAAGAGAAAAACTTTCACTTGATTCCTAATTTGTACTCAGTGACACAAAGACAATGTAAGGGAAAGAAGCAGAGCAGGGGACAAAGGGTGGGTCAGGTTAGAAGGGAGATCAGGAGTTCTTCTTCTAGGGCTATGGTAATTTCATGAATTTACTTTTGCTTCTCTGTCTTCTCTTTGAGTAGTAAAAGAGGTTTCATGCCTCCAGTGAAATTATTATTATTTTTAAGCACAGTTCTACCTGAAAAGTTCAAACCCCACTATCTTTATTTCACATGTAACTACTTACGTACACTAATGAAGAAAAAATAATCTAGAAGCTATTTTTTAATCGAGTTTTTCATATTTTTAAACAATAAAACGTTTTCTCCTGTTTTATAATATCACACTTTTGCTTTACTACATCCTTAGCTCAGTATTAAAAAAAAAAAAAACAAGAAAACTCAAAGTGGTGTGTTTTGCAATATCGATGACCCACTAAGCTGGGGATATTTATTTCCATCTGGCAGAGTTCAGCTTCTGCCTCCCGTTTGCTTCCTCCATCTGCCTTCCTCTCTTCATCTTTTTGTTTTTTTCTTTTTCCCCTTCTCCTTAATGGGAGTTCAGGTTAACCCTGTCTTAGGCCTAATCGTTTTAGCAGGCTCCTGCCTTCCTGCTACACTCTTTTCTAAAGTTTCGTTTTGTTTTGTTTTTTTCTTTTTGGTAGGGTTTCAAACAAACTTACTTTCAGAAGCCTCCATTTTTTTAGACTTCTCTTATTTTTAATAAAGAGCAGGACTCTTAAGGCTAGGACGGCATTTGGACTAGAAAAGAAAAGAAAATCTTTGGTTTTGGGTACCCAAGTTTTAAAATACACTGTAGCTTGTCTGTTTGTTTTTCACAGACCACGATTTACCAGATCCGCGTTGTCTTCAGTGACTGGCTCTCCTGTCCCTCCTGTCCGCATCCAGTAAGGTTTCCACTCTTCTCTCTGCTGACTGCTGAAGTTACTGAAACACCAACCACAAATGGCCTTACTAACCCACTTATTTTGCAATTAAACTTTTACAAAGACATCCCCCTACTCCTCCCCTTGGGTGGAGCAGAAACGGATCCGCGGCGTAGGCGGCTCGTCTGCGAGGGGACCCTGGCTCCCCGAGGCTGCAGTTCTGCGTCTCGGGCAGAACGCCCAGTGCGACCATTCCCTTCACTTTTCCCGCACCCACGGCGCGGGCGCCCCTATCGCGCCGCACCACACGCGCCCCTGGCTCCAGGAGCCAGTCACCAAAACCCGGAGCGGGAACGAGATGTAAACACGCCGTGGGGACACGCAGCCCAATCTGAGGAAGGCAGCGCGCGTGAAGGCACTGCCTGCGCCAGGCGGTTCTTTTCTACCCAGCACTAACCCTCCAGGGCAAGGGGACCCGGGTAGCGCACTCGCTGAAGGATGCACTGGCGCAGCGCCTGGACAGGCTGAAGCGGGAAGGCGGACCTAGGGCTGGGGGCGGAGCTTTCACACACGCACCCCCGGTTCCCTTCGTCCCTCGACCCAGCAACTGGCTCTCCAGCCGCCACTCAGGGTTTATTTGTTTACAAGCGGATTACGTCAGCTCCTCCCTCTCTTCCCTGTCTCTGGACCCGCCTCCTGGACCCTTTTCCCGCCCCTTTCGGCTCCGAACCTGCTTGCGTCACAATGGTGCGATCTTCGGATTGGCTGGAGTCGGCCGTCACGCTCCAGCTACGCCACTTCCTTTTCGCGGCTCTATAAAGGGTGCTGCACGGCGGTCGCATCTCTTCGCCCCTCGGAGCTGGAAATGCAGCTGCTGGGATCCTCGGATGCTGCGGAGCTGGAGGCGGAGGCGGCTGGGGAGGTCCGAGCGATGTGACCAGGCCGCCGTCGCTCGTCTCCTCTTCTCTCCTGCCGCCTCCGGTCTCGAAAATAACTTTTTTAGTCTAAAGAAAGAAAAAGAAAAGCCGTCCGCTCTTCACGCCCTCTCTTCCTCTCAGCCTTCCTCCCGGTGAGGAAGCCCGGGGTGGCCGCTCCGCCGTCGGGGCCGCGCCGCCGAGCCCCGGCCGCCCCGGGCCGCCCCCACCCGCCGCCCCCATGCATCCCTTCTACACCCGGGCTGCCACCATGATAGGCGAGATTGCTGCCGCCGTGTCCTTCATCTCCAAGTTCCTCCGCACCAAGGGGCTCACGAGCGAGCGACAGCTGCAGACCTTCAGCCAGAGCCTGCAGGAGCTGCTGGCAGGTGAGCAGGGCGAGGGCGTCGGGGGGACGCGGGCTCCGCATCCCTGTGTCAGAGTCCGGCCGTCGGGGCCGCGGAAGCCTCGGCAGCGCCCCGGGGCCGGTCGCGCTCGAGCCCCGCCGCGGGACCGGTGTGTTCTCGTTGGGCGGCCGCTAACGGCGGCTCCCAGCGAGGCTTCGGGGTCTGGACGGAGGGCGCCCCCTCCCCCCAGCTGGCAGAACGGAGGGGAGAAGAAAACACGCACAACAAAGAAACTTAAGCCCACTGAGGCGGGAGCTGCGGTCCGAGGGCCGTCCGCCGGTTTGGGGACAAAGGAGCCGCGGGGCTGGGGTGGGTTCGACGCCCACTTCCCCAAGCTCCCTCCAACCGTTGCGTGGTCGGCGGCCCGGCCCCGGGGTGGGAAGCCGCGCCGCTGCCCCGGAGCCAGCTCGGGACGGACGTGCGGTCTCCCCGCGCCTCCTGCCCCTGCCCATTAATCATCGGATTTGTCACCGGCACAATTACAGCCCTGCCCAGAGCGTGGTTTAGGATTGCTTGTTTTTCTTCCCTTCGGGGTTAACAGTCCGGTGGCGCTCCTCATCCCCAAAGCCATCAACTCCATTGTGTGCGGCTGGGATGGGGTGGAGAAAGTAAACAGGTTCCCGCCTGGCCGTGGGTGCCACCGGCTTCCCGGCCGGCGGAGCTGCGCGCCTGATTCCTGTTTTGGCGGCTCAACCGGTTGGTTCCTGGAGATTGTTTTGTCCCGTACTACTGTGTTATTTCCAAAACCCTGCCCGCCCCTTCCCCGTCCCCGCACATACACAACGGATGCAATCCTGGACGCTTTTAAAAGTCGATAGTTTTCATTTTCACGCCTCAAAAAAGCCTACGGTAGGAGGAAACAACAGCAGGAGCTGTCTAAAGATCCTAAGCATTGTTTCTCTGTTCTTCTTTCTTCTACAGAACATTATAAACATCACTGGTTCCCAGAAAAGCCATGTAAGGGATCGGGTTACCGTTGTATTCGCATCAACCATAAAATGGATCCTCTGATTGGACAGGCAGCACAGCGGATTGGACTGAGCAGTCAGGAGCTGTTCAGGCTTCTCCCAAGTGAACTCACACTCTGGGTTGACCCTTACGAAGTGTCCTACAGAATTGGAGAGGATGGCTCCATCTGTGTGCTGTATGAAGCCTCACCAGCAGGAGGTAGCACTCAAAACAGCACCAACGTGCAAGTGGTAGACAGCCGAATCAGCTGTAAGGAGGAACTTCTCTTGGGCAGAACGAGCCCTTCCAAAAACTACAATATGATGACTGTATCAGGTTAAGATATAGTCTATGGATGGATCATCTTATAATGATGGATAAATTTGATTTTTGCTTTGGGTGGGCTCCTCTTGGGGATGGATTATGGAATTTAAACCGTGTCACAGCTGTGAAGATCTGGCACAAGATAGAGTGGTAAAAAAAATTTTTTTAAGTGACAGTGCCATAGTTTGGACAGTACCTTTCAATGATTAATTTTAATAGCCTGTGAGTCCAAGTAAATGATCACTTTATTTGCTAGGGAGGGAAGTCCTAGGGTGGTTTCAGTTTCTTGCAGACATACCTAAATTTTTACATCAATCCCTTTAAAGAAGATCTGTATTTCAAAGAATCTCTGCAGTAAATCTCGCAGATGAATTTGCACTATTACACTTGAAAATTGTTATTGTTAACCTTTTTGGCAGCTCAATAGGAAAGCTAAACGTTTCAAACATGATAGTACTGGAAATTTTACAAGACTTTTACCTAGCACTTAAATATGTATAAATGTACATAAATACAAACTAGTAAGCATGATCTGGGGAAATGGTCAGATCTTGTATTGTGTTTTTGGCCTTGAAAGTAGCAAGTGACCAGATTCTGCCATGGCAACAGGCTTTAAAAAAGACCCTTAAAAAGACACTGTCTCAACTGTGGTGTTAGCACCAGCCAGCTCTCTGTACATTTGCTAGCTTGTAGTTTTCTAAGACTGAGTAAACTTCTTATTTTTAGAAAGTGGAGGTCTGGTTTGTAACTTTCCTTGTACTTAATTGGGTAAAAGTCTTTTCCACAAACCACCATCTATTTTGTGAACTTTGTTAGTCATCTTTTATTTGGTAAATTATGAACTGGTGTAAATTTGTACAGTTCATGTATATTGATTGTGGCAAAGTTGTACAGATTTCTATATTTTGGATGAGAAATTTTTCTTCTCTCTATAATAAATTGTTTCTTATCTTGGCATTTTAATCAATCTCTTGTCATGATTATAGAGGTTCACCTAAAAGTATTTTTTCTTAGAAGATAGGTTCTGTGAACTCTGAAAATCAGTTGCACACTGGTTGTGCTGAAACAACATTTGATGAGAAATGAAGATGATATGTATATACATATTTAGGTGTTAGAGGAAACACAGGAATAACATGTTGAAAAAAACATGGACACATTCACAGGCTAATGATCCCATGAAATAAGGATAAGAGACCACGGTAGCATCTACCAAAAATGTGATACTCAAAAGGATTGCATTTCATGCTTGCCTGTTGGAGTGAAGATATAAATGTTCCATTCTGACCCACCTTTGAAAAACAATTACTTTGCCCCATGGATTCCTTGTTCAATTAGGAATTTCTGGGGGCAGGTGACCCATAGTATTAAAGAACAGGCTAAACACTGCAGAGAGATTGGTTGCATTTTGCTTTTCATCACCTGCAAGATTTACATAAAAATCACTTAAACTGGAATTCAACAAAAGGTATGTTTATGAACTTTTATTCTCAAAAGTTGAAATGCTGACTGTCTCGATTCCTCGTTTTCAGACTTTTATTTCAGATAAATTCTAAGAACCTAAGTGAACATTGATAAGGCTGTAGTGCAGGTTACTCCACTACCCCATATAATATAAGGATTTGCTGGTAATTTAGTTGTAGAGGATAACATCGTTTTTCAGTGGAAATTGAAGTGGAAAAACTGAATTTTGTTCCACACAGTAAACTTGCCATACAATGGCCTTTTGTATGGTATATATGTAAACATGTTCACACTGGAAATATGCAATCTAAATTACTTAAAATCAGTAATTGAAATCAGTAATCTCAAGTTTGAGAAGTTACTTCTACATGCAGGATTAAATTAATTTTGTAGGCAACACAGGAATAGGCTGCTGAACATGCAGGTATTTTAGAGTACAAATGTCTGTGTATATTATTGGCATACCTTTCTCGAGAGTTTGAATTTGTAGACCCACAGCAAATGGAGTACCCTTGCCAATTGTTACGGTTTTATTTTTAAATCTACTCTGTGAAAAAGCTCCTTGGTATTTCAAACTTGAATTAAAATAACACCGGGTAGTGTAGTTTTTAAGTGGGTCTCACCCCAGTACTGACTACTGTTGTTCAACTATGTTTCATCTGATAACTCCTTTGAAACTAAGTACCTAAACTTTTTTTTATCATAAAGCCTTTTATCAAATTTTTGAAGATCTTGACATCAGACTTTTTCAATCTTTGAAAACGATGGAAACAGTTAATAAAAATGTTTATTTTAGAATTCAGGTGATGTCTGGCATGTGAGGAACTGTTCGTAAGTTTCTCTTCGAAAGGCTTGCACACATCACTCTTGAGACCAGCTGTTTCCTGTGACTTTAACCTTACCTTCCCCAATTGAGCTGAACCTATATCTGCAGTACAGTAGCGGCATATTTCTTGTTCACTGTTTCTGGGGAATGTTTTGAAATATAAATCCTTTTAGGATAGGATGACTGCTTTCAAAATTATTGTTGCCATTGGCACCAGGAATTAACAGTTGCGATTGGCAATAAGCCTCAGGAATGTTACTTTCTAAGTTTTAACAGGTAGTTTTAAAATTATTTCCTTTTTTTCCACATTTTAAGTAATACCTGCCTCTGTAATGTAGAAACAAAGGTTCAAGTGGATTCTATAGCAAGAGTTATCCTGGTTCTTGCAGGATAATGTGGCTGTTATCTTTGCCATCTGGAATGTGAATCACATGTCCTTACCCTTATTCAGAATATTTCTATAATAATAGACTGCAAAGGCCACCAGAAAGTGGCTTTCTGGTACATTGCACAAATAGTTTCCTTAAGTCACTGTAACTCGCACATTCGAAGTAATTAATTTTGGTTTGCATAGATGTTACAGGTTATGAAATTGGCCTTCAAGTTAAAGGGAAGGAAGCTGTATTCCTGATGGCTAGTGTTTAATGACTACAGGTTTCCAGGCTCACTTTAATTTTGGGAGCAAATAAATCTGCTATTGGACTTTTCCTTGGGTGACTTTCAACATTTCTGATACTCTCTCTTCCTCTTTACAGAAGAGAGGTATGATAACCGAAGTTGTATTTTGCATATTGAAGTTTAAAGATGTTTCCCCTCCCCTTTTCACCCCTATTTCAGATAATGCGATAAATGCTCTTGATAGGCTATATGGAGAACATTTGTCAATAGTTTGATCTATGCATAGAAGTCTTCAAAAATTTCCTATTTATCTGAGGGTATACAGACTGCAAATATTTTAGACTCATCTCTCATTCCGTGCCACTGAACTTTTAGATATGGCTGCTATCAAAATATAACTGGTTTATTTTCATATTTGGAACATAACAATATCACAAAATCATTTACAGTAAGATAGTTTGTACTACTAGCTGACTTAGCTGCTTGAGTCCTTAAATCATTTAATATATGGGACTGTAAATAGATCTGTACATCATGAGATCTGATTTTTTATTATCCTTATAGACCTTTATACATTTTCTTCTGCTACGTGTTGTATTTTTGAGATGCTCCTAAACAAGTAAATCTTAGATCAGGCGTCTCCAAACTACGCATGCTGCCCCCTGAGGCCATTTATCCGGCCCCCCACCGCACTTCAGGAAGGGGCACCTCTTTCATTGGTGGTCAGTGAGAGGAGCACAGTATGTGGCGGCCCTCCAACGGTCTGAGGGACAGTGAACTGGCCCCCTGTGTAAAAAGTTTGGGGACGCCTGCCTTAGATTGTGTTAATCTTGAAGATTGATACCATTTCCTCAACACTTTGTGGAATATGATTGATACCAGTTTTTTTTGACTGCAGGTTTAATTTGACTTATCATTTTTCATATTGCTCAATATGTCCAAGATAGGAAAAAAAGATGGAGTTCAACTTCTGTTATTTATGAGCCTTTTCATGATATTTGTCATTTTAGTGTTGAAGATGCCATATTATTCTGGGAGTCATGTATGCTTAAGAGTACTGATGCTCAGAGGTGAAATGATTTGAACCTAGAGTTGGATAAAAAGGGAAAGGATGGGGAAAATGAAAACTGGGAAGCTCAACTGGGTGGGAATGTGAAGGATGGGTGATAAAAATTCATTTGCTATGGCCATAGGTGTATATTGACAGGTTGGCATAGCACAGTCTCTTGGCAGAGTTTGGGAATCACTAAGGATTCTGCAGTTCATGAATTGTGGGGCAGACTGCTCAATTTTTTTCTGTGAACATGCAGGTCAGAGTGGTATTGCAGGTGGAACTCCATGGAAACTGGTCTTGGAGAGTTGTGGATGGAATGCACACATGTCTCTCAGTATTTTCTAAAGGGAGAATATTTTTTAGATATCTCTTATAAATCACTTGATGATTATAGTGTCTTGTACCTTTAAGTTGTGAAGGCCATTTGCGATCCCATTCCCGGTGGTAGATGAATGACCAAGAGTAGGCCAGACATCTAACATTATATTAGTAGCATTATAGTTAACTGGATTTCTGTATTTGGAGAATATTACATCAGACACTACTTATAATTTTAGTAGCGTTGATAGGAGATATTTCACCTATGGGTACATTTAATAATTCTCTTGATGGTCATCTCCAAAGTTGTTTTGTCATTCTTTTAGAATATTTTCATATGTATTTCCATGTGTGCTGCAAGAGCATCTGGCACGTTTTCTAAACAAATATACATATATTTGACATACACTAAAAATTTTGTTGATAGAATGCATGATCAGAAATGTTTAGACTATTTCTTTAGATTTTCACTGAAGTAGATGAATATTTGCCTTCCCCCAAATAATTCATAGTTATGTTCATCCCTTAATTGGTAAGTCTTAAAATGACAAGCTATTGTAGCACTACAAAGGGGGTTGTCTTTTAAGTTTAGCTCATCTGCCTAAGTCTTTGTAATAATAAAATTAAGTTAGCCTTTATAGCCAACAGATATCCAAATGTATTACACCAATATATGTTCCTATATATTCAACTATATGTTGCTGTGTGTTGAAATTCACATTTTTGTTTCTCAGAAGTTATTTTAATGTTAGGGTCTTTGTAACACTGATATGCATGGTTATAAGAGAACTAAAGTATCGAAGGTGTCGATGGGTGATTTAATTATTTTAGTAGTTACAGCTTAGACAGAAAGGCCCTGTATCTTTTCCCTCTTGTTCTGAGCCATCCCTGAATTTTTGAAGGAAAAGATGACTAACAAATTGGACTTTATTTGAGAAGATTCCACAAATGATCATAGCCGTAAAATTATTGGACTTGACAATTGCACTATAAGCAGATAACACTTTCTAGGAGTTGTCCTGATTTATGCCAGTTTTGTCCCCTCAAATCAATAGACTAAATGGGGTCGTATTTCCCACAAATTGTACTTGTGAGTCTTCAAGTTATCTTTATATTCTTCTTTGACCTTCCAACAACTGGATGAGATTGACAAGTAGGTCAGTATTTTTTATCTTCATTTCATGGATAGAAAACCGAGGCTTAGAAAGCTTAAGTAATTTGCCCTAAAGCCAGACAGCTAGTAAACAGCTAATTCACAATTTGAATTCAGGCTTTTCTGATCACAGAATCCAAGCTCTAACTATTGTTACATTGTGACGCATGATTTGTCTACCTTCTTTCACACTGTTGGAACATGCATTTTAACTTCTCATTGTGAGTTGGCCATCTTTGGTCATTTTCGGCCTTGAAACTCTTTCACTCTCTGTGTTCAAGAGGCATATAGCAGTCTACAATTAGGCTTCTCTCTTTGAGAGGCAGTTGCAATTTAGCATAAAGAATACTAGTCTAAGACTCAGACTTGTACCAACATGTGACTTTGGACCAGTTGCTTAGCCTCTCTGAGCCCATCATTCCATGTGTAATAATGGAGACAACTCATTTGTTGTAAACATGAAATCATATAGCTAGTGAATGTTTGGATTCTTGGAATTTGAATACTCAGTGGAGGCCAACAAAATATAG